AAAAGTATTAAGATAAATAAAGAAGTTTATATTAATAATTAACTAACCATTATAGAGCTTAAGAATTGCATCACAGATAAACCTATACTGGTCAACAGTTTGAACCATCATTGCTCGTTGCTCTCTCATTTCTTGAACAATTTTTGCCGGATTAACGGGTTGATTGGCCTCTATTAAGCACATGGCCGTTTCAATACCAATTAAAACACCAGTTCTACCAATGCCAGCACTGCAATGTACAACCGTTGGCTCAACCATTCCAGCTCTCCACTCGCGAACACGGCGAACAAACTGTAAAAAGTGAGCAGCGTCGTCCGGTACGCCGTGGTCCGGCCACGCCAAATACTGAACGTGTTTGATATGTCTTTCATCGTTGCCTTCAACAACGTTTAAATCTCGTATGGCTAATTTATCATTGGTATTCTGATGAATACAAGTCACCGACAGCAAACCGTACTGCTTTTTTTCATAGACTGGCGGCCAATACTGAAAACATTTATCTCTACCCCGCTCCATACTTAAAGTAAGCATGACGACTAAAGAAGTTCGCTGCTGCCAGAGCATACTCCAAAAATCATTTACTGTGTTCTGCAGAGGTCCCTGAGCAGCAATATAACAATTTCGGATGCCTGATCCGGGTATGTTCATATTTACGTGGTTTGCGTTTATGTAGTCAGTGCCTTGATTAGTAGGAAAAAGAACAACTCTCGAATCATCATAAGGAGAGATATCTCTATAACGATTCTTTGCCATATTACAATCTTTCCTCGCCTCGCTGAACATTCCGCTGGCCTTTGTACGGTAAAGTTTTTCAAATTGTAGAGACGCAAGGCCGCTCTCGACGGCTTGAGATAGTACAGTCATGGAACCACGTAAAGTATCCGCATAAGGAATGCTTAATTGTCCATTTTCCAATGTGTAGTCAGCCTCATCACAAAATCCAGGCGTATCCTGCCCTATATTATACATATTTGGCTTCACAAGTAATTCTAATTCACCAGAGTGTGTCTCACGGGATGCTCGTATAAACATGACTACTTGTTCATGTGTATGTTGAGATACGTCTCTGCCATTTATATACAGAACTTGATCACCTTCGTTTAAACGAGGAAGGCTCAAATCGGCTGGTGAATTTTTTGCTACTCTAGAAACGATAATTGGTGTTGACTGGTCAGCTCCGCCCTATTTATAACAGGAGAGATTTTTACAAAATTAAGTCATAAAAAAGATGATCGTTTAATATGTACCTTAACATTAAATCCAAAACGACCCTCAGAGTCGGGCTTTATTCTAACGCATACTAATTTTTCAAATTGATTATTTCCATTAACTTGTATTGCGTTGGATGTTGGTGATGCTTGACGTTTGGCATCCTGGTGATTCTTCTCACTGCAAAAAAAAATAATAAAAAGCTGTAAGCCTTTGTTATTCACATCTTTAAGACATACTGTAATTTATCAGCTGACCAAGCTTTTTTCTGCGGACCACCGTTGGCTGGTGTACTTGTAGGATTTGGCATATTATTCAGACTTCTTGAATTAGGAACATTCAGCGGAGGTGGGGGTCGTCGCTCTTCCATCAGGTTATTTCGGGTGCTACCGCCAGCAGGTCGTCGTACGAATTGACCACTCGGCGATCTATATACATGCAAAATAATAATGGCTGGCACGAATATAAGCATGGTGAATATGCCTAATAATCAAGGTAATACAAGCTGAAACTCGAACCTTAGCTTTCCTACATTGATTAGTTAATATAGCGCGCATCACTGGTCTTTTCATACGAAGCAGAGAATCAAAAAAGGAATCGAAGGTGTTTTAAAAGAAAAAAAAATTTCAGTCAAAAAGCGTCTAAAATATTCAGCGATTATTTTTAAAAAGTAGCTTCCTTTAGTTTGCCAAATTATGCAGCTTCAAGAACTATATGCGACTAAATACCTTAAAAAATTCGGTCTAAGAGTTCTACGCCTCCTTAACTCATTCTGTGCTTCCCATTGTGTTCGGCCGCTGTATACAATTGCGAAATATCCAAGATATAGCCAAAGAAAATAACAGCTATCTCATTTAGCGGCGAGCGCAAACATATTTCTCTTTATTGCGAACGTAATATATGCAGAATTTAACCATTCACTTACCTATATCTATATTTGGAAGAAAAGAAGCTCCGTTTGGTCGTTGTTTGAGAGTTATGCATGCGAAAGAAAGTGTGATGTTCCACACAGGACTTCCATAAATCCTTACAAGATCTATATGATTCGAGATTGAATCCGATCAAATCACCTGTGGCAGCATTACTACTAGAACTGGCGTTTTGCCCATCGTCGGCTGCCTGTGAATCGAAAAGTAAGCCGATAGTAAAATAACAAAATGGTATGGAGTAAAAAAATAAAAAGAAAACCAACGTCATCTCGTCGCAATTTGACAAAAAATTGCTTCCGTTTAAAAGATATCTTCACAATTTTCGACCTATGTGACAAATTAAGTGATATTAGTCTAAAAGGGTCTTTAGGAAATGTAATTTACCATGCAAATGTATTAATCTTGATGTTATTCTGAAAGACAACAAGACCAGCGGCAGTTACTCCTAATTGAATTTCTAATTGGCTAGCATCCTGTAAAATAAGAAATAATATCTCAAAAAACAATAGAAACTTTATCAAATATTATAAGAAACACAGCAAAAACACGAAAATTGCGTGCAACTTCGAGATGAAAGAATAAGAGGATAGAGATGTTAAAATACCTTTACTCTAGCTGTGTAGAGTTCCACTCCATATTGATCTAAACGCGCAGCCTTTTCCAAGTATGCAAACTCAGCATCAGCAGGATTCTTACCTCTGTACAATGTCACACACATAAAAACACCGTCATGCAAAAATAAACATGCTTTAAAAATTGGCACCACCAACGATATCATAAAACGTATAATTTAAAAACCAAAGTATACGTCAACGTATAAAACAGAAAATATTACTTTTCTCACCCATGTCGCACGGTGTATATGAGCACCGTACATCTCTAGTGTGCCCGCAGTTGCCAGATATTGAAGTTCAGCTTCAGCGGCACTCAATTCCCTTTATCATTTTGGAAAATGTGTTCATTCCAAAGTGTTATTTAAATAAGTTTTATTTGTATATACTTGATAGGCTTATACCCTTTTATCTAAGTACATACAATGTATATGATAGATATACTTTTATTTGTCCATTTATATACAAATTACTGTATATACAATTAGTATATTATAAATAAGTATAAAGTATACAATGATATGCATTTTGCGTATACTTTTATAAGTTTCTAAGGTTTACTTTAAAATAATAATTCTAACTCACCTTTGTTGTTGATGCGCCCGCATAACTGCTTGCTCAAAAGCATGTGTTTGATTTGGAATGAGCTTCACATCTCTTAAATATTCTGGTCCATGTTCCTCCGGGCTGTAATCACCTAAGTCAGATTGTACAGTTAATGCGGCCAAAACAATGGCAGTGTCAACAGGAGCATGCAATTTGCCGTTAGCAATATCTGTTCGAATCTGCATGAAATAATGATAACGTGTATATTCTTCTCGAAGCTTTGATGGATCCGTTACGTAGAATTTGACGCGGAAAAAAAAGGTAGGATTGTGAAGAATGGATACTTGTTTACGGATTGGTTTATTTCCGTCCAACCATCTGAAGTGACAGGATCCGTTTTGCTGAGTAGAGAGTGACTCATTAATCTTTTTTATATATACATATAAATCATAGATATAACTTACCGCGTTTTCGTAATCTTGAGACTGATCCGCAAATTGTAACCCAAAATAATCACGCTCTGATAATTCCAAGTGATTGTACACAGCATCTAATAAAGCGCTTCCCTTCGATCTTTTATCAAGAGTAAAAGGATAATTTTTATCATCCAAAAATATGACAATACTATCGAAAGTTTTTGCAGTCACCGAGGCAACAGGGCGATCTCTCTGCAACTCAGACGCTTGTACGTGATACGTACCGCTGACAGCACCAAGTTTTACCGACATGTTACAGTTCCATTGTTAATTAAACAGAGAGCGATAATCGAGTCATTTTACGAAAAAAATAATTCGTTCATTATAGAACGTCGATAACGGCGTGTGACAACGCTATTCACCAAAATCAATGCAGAATCTATCTTTTCTTGTTATCCGTTAAGTTTCAGGACAAGCTGATGTTCGAAACTGAGAAATCTCCGTTGTGTTGATTGGAAATGGAAAAAAAATGGTGTCGTACCCAGGATGCTATAGTAGTCATGAATATGCATGAGCTGCTAGCGGCGGCAGCACTGCAGAAGCAGTCGATGGCGGTCCATCGGTGCAGTGCAGCAATGAGGTAGACACGTTTTTTGTCTTTTTCGCTTTTAATTAGCATATTTGTTGATTGATAATAATAATTCATATAATGTGAACTACCCGGTTGAGTAGATACGAGTCAATTATGTAATCAGTATGTATCTGACGTGGCGTAAGACGATTTTTGAAATTGAAAAAATACCACACGTACTCTCTATTTAAGCCCTTAACGTCAGCTGCTAAAAACTTCGAGAAAAAAATATATATCAAAATACTTATAATCATATGTATTTCGTAACAGCTCCACTGAAAAAAGTTAATAACGTAGAACAAATTGCGAGCATTAAAAAACAACTGGAGACTCACTGAACAAGCACTGTAATTACCAAGACCAAAGCATTAAACAGAAGACAAAAAAGCAATGGCCGATTGGAAAAGTAACAACAGATCAATCCCGCCAAAGACTCGTTTTTCGGATGGTAAACAACTGGGCATTATCGAGAAGATTCTTCATTCTTACGGCTTTATACAATGCATGAATAAGGATTGCCGTCTTTTCTTTCACTTTAGTGAATTTTACGGATCTGATATGGAAGTAGGGGATACGGTAGAATTCGACGTGGCCTTTGATAAGAAAACAAGTAAACCAATTGCAGTAAATGTTGAACGTAGTTTCCAAAATCAAGAAAACAATGTAGAATCAAGAATGTCGGGAACAGTCGCAACACCAGCAACCCATGCTGATTCATTTGGACGAGGCGATGCAACAGCAGCAGCAGATAGTATGGGCTCTGTATGCTATCAGAGAGGAGGAGAAACTTTTTTCGTTCCGTATGCCCTAGCAGATACTCCAAATAAAAATATTCTGTCAACTGGAGATACTGTTGAATTTGTTCTTGCCGAAGTTGATAATGTATTTATGGCAAAAAAAGTGAAATTGTTAAAACGAGGACCTAAACCTGATCGTTACCAGGGAGTTATCTGCACAAAAAGAGATAATTTCGGTTTCATTGAACGTTCCGACGTTGTTCGAGAGATCTTCTTTCACTTTAGCGAATGGCGTGGGCAAATGAGACAGCTACAACTTGGTGCAGATGTTGAATTTAACATTTCTCTCAGGAATGGGAAAGAAGTGGCAACCTCTGTTGAAGCTTTGGAATCAGGGACAGTTATTTTTGAAGATGTTGATAAAGACAAAAGACGGGGTAGAATTTTGAAACCACTTTCTACTTTGCATGATCAACAAAATGAAAAGCTAAGACAATCAGTTTGCGATCCTCTTGGAGGTAGAATTGTCTATGAAACGGTGACTGGTTCAATAGAAATTCCATATGGGGATAAAGATCAGAAAGGAGCCTTCACACTTCTTGAGAACGATATCGTGCATTTTAATATTGCTACTGACCGTCGAGATCAGCTACAAAGAGCAACTAATATAACTTTAGTAACAAGTGACACCTTTCGATTAAACAATGAGAAAAGGGAAAAAGGACTCGTGACTGCCGTTAAAGAGAGATATTGCTTCCTTCGAACTGCTCAAACACCTAGACTTTTCGCTCATCTTTCAGAAGTGCTTTTAGAAGAAAATGACGAAGAGGCTACTGAACTCCATGTCGGTGATATTGTTGAATTTACCTTAGCCTCAACCGATTCACCAAATCGGCCAACTGCCCAGCGCTTATTGATAAAGCCCTTTAATTCACCAGAGGCTAGTAAACTTAGAGACTTACTTTCTGAAGATGATCTTATTCAAGGAATCATCGACGTAGAATCCACTCCAGATCAACCTGGTGCTATTACGTACAATCAAAATTCAGTCGCTAGATCAATTTCATTCAATTCAGACTCTTGCACCGAAAATTTCAGCTCAGGAGATCGTGTCGAATTTTTGGCCAACGATGGAGCTGCTTTGTTAGTTAAACGCTGTCAAAAGTTCATTCGAGGTTATGTAGCAGCACTCAAAGCCGAATTTGGTTTCATTGAGTATTATTCACATGACAAGGAGATTTTCTTTCATTTTTCAACTTATGAAGGGAATATTGAGGACTTAGAGTTAGGTGACGATGTTGAATTTACTGTTTCAAGGAAAGGTGGTAAACCAGCTGCTGGTGTTGTTAGACGATCCAAAGTAACATCAAAGCCAATGATGGTAGAAGAAAAAGCTCGTGATGGTGTTATTATTAGGAGTGTACGCATTTGCAACCCTGATCAGAACGAATACAAAGGAGAAATTGAGGACACAGAAGATGGAAAACGCTATTCATTCTGCGTAATGAGTCTTGTTGATAAGCGTGACATCTTGCAACCTAACGACAAGGTATCCTTTCGGTTAGCTACTGATCCAAATCTTGAGGAAAATGGTAAAAGTTTAATGGCGTATAAAGTTCGTGCCATTCGGGAGCGATATACCGCAACTGTTGATTGTCTTAAGGGTCAGTTTGGATTCTTAAACTACGAAAATGAAACGGGAAAAAAGCTGTTTTTTCATTTATCGGATGTTGTTAGCGAAGGTGTTATTCGCCCTGGCGACACGCTTGATTTCGTAATTGTTCAGAACAAAACCGGACGTTTTGCTGCTAGTAACTTGAGAAGAACGGCAACCTCAACCATGTCGAGTAACACAAGAGCAAGACCATTAAGGCTTATTTCTCGACTCAAGTCAAATTGTGAAGATGGACCGAAAGTTGTGGCTATCAGGCAGCCGTATGGTCCAGATACTAAGAGGAAAGGTTTTGAACCAAGAACTGGACCTATGTCCGTTTGATATCTCTTTGTGTTCTATCGTGTTTTTAAACAGAAAAATATAGAAGGCAGAAAAAAGGTCAACGTACACAACGTTTGTTATTGTCGAGAAACTGTATCGTCCGTATTAGTACACGTTTTTACATGCAGAGAATTCTTCATAGTACTAAAATGCAAACATGCCCATACAATTAAAAAATAAAAAGAAAAAACTGTTCAAAAAGTTTTTAAACGAGAGTTGGAATGCTCGTTTGCTCTTTTTCCGTTTCCTGCGTTCTGTTCACAGAGTCGAACATTTTACGAAGAACTTGATAGCACTCTTTACCGTGTTTCTTATGTAGAAGTCGACTGTGTTCTCGCCAACTTTCTTTAACTTTCTTCCAATGTTGCATATGATCCAAGAGGAGAGCTTCGGATCCGGGTTGATCATCAGGATCTCTGTTTATCTCTTCTATGAAATTTGTTTCTGGATGTTCTATTGGTTCCGGAACTCGATAGTTTTTTTCACCATCCTCAATAGGAATTGTCACAGTCGGTAATTGTAAATTTTTAAGATTTTCTGATTTTGTCTCCGTCTTTATTTCTTCTGTTGGAACCGATTGATTGAGAATCCAAGCTCGAGCGATGGCATATAGAGGAGAATTTCCATCGAAGTGGGTCAAATCAACAGTCCTTTCAAACATTCTCATAACAAATGGTTGATCTTCATATTCGTCGTATTTCTTTGACTTTCGAGACTTTTTAGACTTGAAACGCTTTCCCTGACCATCGGATTCATTAGATGCTTGATCAGCGGCCAAAGCTTTCTCATCTTCTTCCTCTGCCTTTAGAATAATTGTGTTCAAAGCTGTTTCTAAACCCATACGAGCAGTTGAAACATCGCGCATAAGTTTTGACTTTCTTTGATTTGCCTCCATTGAGCCGAAGTTCAGTTTAAAAGAAAAGAATATGAATATCTAGCTTGTTAAACGCGCCGCCATTAAGTTTAATATGGTTACGGGTTCGGATTCTTTTACTGGTTTTTTTTACCAGATTTTGCAGTCATATCCAATCAACGCCTCCTTATCTCGTCACGTGACTACCTCATTTCTCCCTCTGTTAGCAAAGGAAAAGATACTAATATTTTCCTAGGCTTCTCTGGAATTCTGATAAACGAATTAATTGTAATTTGTACTAATTCGTTATCAGAGGATCTCATTACGCAATATTAAGTATAGAAAATATAAGAGAAAGGAGCGTTACTGATTAACCTGAATCGGCCAAGGATATATTATTGATGAAATCTTATCGAACCTGACGTCTTCCTCTCAATGATGATTTAAAGTGCGATTTTGTAAAATGGAAATAAGCTCAGGAACTACGATTAATCTAAATAATCATTGGGAGAAAGATTTCAAACTGGAGCGAGACTGCAATGCTCTCAGTTCGTTATTTGCTTCCATTATTTTGGATATGAAGGTTTTAACTTTATTTCTATTAAAAACACAACCGGCTGTCGCTCATTCTAAATCTATTCACTACAATTACTATAAAGATTAGCAGCATACAGTGTGTAATTTTTTAATGATCGGAAAAAATTGCCCATAATACGACAATTTACACATTAACAACAGGAAAATATGTCTCATGTTTTATCGTCAATGTACACTTTGATAGATTTTATGATTAACATTTAACGTGATTTCACTTTACAGGGTAGCTATCCTATCTGGGAAGAATTTGCTGGTCGCTCCATACGTTTCGCAAGCGCCATAAAGTAAGGAAATTTACATAATAATGAAACGAATTTATCAAACGATTTCTTACAGGAACACGCAAACAGCCATGAATTGTTTTTTAGAATCCTTTCAGAAAGTCGCAGATATTGCTACTCATGCTAAAGGTATTTTACTGACCTATTGACCTGTCTTAGTATAATTTACTGTTTTACGCGTTATCTGCTTGGCCGCCTTCGCGTAAAACGTATATATTTAGTATTAGCCGGACGTGCTTGAATGTTTATTTAAACTCCTACGGTATTCATAACGAGTATCCTTTATCAGCATATTGTAGAGAGTAAGGTGTTTATTCGAACCAAACGTAATTATTGACGGTGTTACTCTTATAATAACAAAAGATTGGTTTCGTCTATTATAGGAGCCACAAAAGATATTGGTACGGCGTTAACCCGACTGCAATTACGACACAAAAATATAGAAAATCGGCTAAAATCCTTATCGACTTGCCTTGTTGAGAGTGTGGCTGCCCCCATTGAGAACAAATTAGAGGATTGGAAAAAGTCGGTCAATCAACTAGATAAAGATCATGCAAAAGGTAAAGTGAATTCTGTTCTAGCCTTCGTACGTGCCTTAAGCCTTGTGAACAACTTGACGCATTGTAAAGCAGTGTAGTTCTTTCTTTTTTAACAGCTTAATATTTATTCGGCTCAGCCGACCTGTAAAAATTATAAATCGCTTTCGTACGTTTCCATTTACATTGCTCTGAAAAGCCAACGTGCCTCGACCCATATTTCATGTTGGGCTGTTATAAAAAAATCATATTCTTTTCTTACAGACAGCAAACGTATAAGAAATGAAGTCAAAAAGGCATCATCAGAGACTGTGCGTCTAAAGAAGAAGGCAAAGAAAGGTAAACGTTTCTTGTTAAAATATTTTATTTATTTACTCTTTAGTCTGACGAGTGTAATATTGCCTAGAAACAAACCCTGGAGTTGTATCTAGCAGGCTAATTTATCGCTGCAATGCCTTGTTTTTATTTGTTTATTTTATCGGCAATCGGCTGTATACTAACGTAGCGACGTATTGTTTATTCAGCGGGTAGACCTCAAGAATTGACACATTTTGTGGAAAAAGCTGTCTCAGATGAATATAGTAGAAAAGTAACATGGGAGGAGATGGAAAAAAGCTATGTCAGAAGAGCTATGATTGAAGAAAGGGGGAGATTTTGCACATTTGTTGGTCAGCTCCGTCCTGTTTTAGACCAAGAAATAAATCTCTTTGGGGAAATAAATCATTTACAAGAAGTGGTAGAAAACCTCTGCGAACAGGCAACAGATCCCTTTGCACTTCCCCCAACATCTGAGCAAGTATTGGATGACTTAAAAGATTCGCTGACTCAACATGCTATAAGGCGAACACCGCCTTCATCGCCATCCAGTCTTGGATCGAGAAAGAGCTCTATGTGTTCAATAAGCAGTATTGCATCGTCTTCAAGCGATTCCACTAATTCGTCGAATCCACTTTGTCCACCTCCGGTTTCCAATGCTCCACGCTCAAAGCGTAATAGCATTGCTTCTTCTGCCGGTAGTGATTTAAATATTAACCAGGTAATTGTCCCAACTCTTTTTAAAATCTATAAATTCATCAGTACATTTTAAATTTAATTTCAGCCACTCTACGCAACTATTCGGCGTTCTAGTAAAGCTGGAGCTGTTGCTAGGCTTTCATCCGTTTCTTCTCACGATTCTGGATTTATGTCTCAAGATACACTTTTTCCTCGACCTCCTTCCCCTCCAGCAGTATCCTCTTCAAATGAAAACGATACACAGTCTACTTGGACAAATTGGCCGGAAGCACCTTTGGGTTTGGATGCAAGGCATGATTCAGGTGCCGAGAGGCCTCATACAATATCTGCTGCGTATGAGAGACTACATACGAGACCAGCTATTACTGCTCAAACATTTGAACCTCCTAAGGTGAATGATCCTGAAGCACCCCCTCTACCCTACAGGCCGCCTGGAGCCTTTGGTCGACCAATTTTACACGATGATAGTAAAACACCAACCGAAGAAGACCAAGTAGACTGTTTGCAAGTAAGTATTTCCAAACTGTAAACTACAAGAGTACTTATATACATAAAATGTTGTTGCAGCAGGCATCAAACGCCGATTCGCTCTCTGAAGCAATAAAACAGCTGGAAAATTGCACGGCACAACTGCAAGCATCCGGTAAGTAATTTTTTTTTTAAATTTTATCGATATTTTCTCGTGTTGAATTTTTCGTTAATTTTTTATTTATTGGCAGAATCTTCATCACGAATATCGTCAAACGATAATAGCCAAAAGGTAGCCAAACCTCCACCTCCTTTGCGCAGATCATCTACTATTACAATGGCTGATTTCTCATCGCTGCCTCCACCGCCGCCATCATTTCAAGAGCCAATCGATATGTCATTACCTTCTTGTGATGACCTTCCTCCTCCTCCTCCTGAGCTATTAATGCCGCCTCCTCCTGAACCATTAGTTTCTCAAACTTACAAAGCGCCATCTACCATTTCCCAAAAGGATGAAAGAAATGCAAAACAAGTTAATAACAATAAAGTTTTACGAAGACACCATAGCATAGCTGAGACACATGCATCAGTTATGCATGCCTTAAATTCTCAATTGTTGTATCAACAAAAATCCCCTTCCCAAATGCATCCTACTAGTCTGGCTTTAAAGCAATCGTCTATAGAGGCTCTCGATTTGGACGAAGTTACACCAACTCAGGATAACGGGGGTACTCTATTGGAAAGAGCTATAAAATTTCGTAAAACATTAAAGTAAAGTTATTAACAATTTATTGTACAAATGAATAATTCTTTTAGAGATGTACGTACCATAAACATTTTTTATTATCATGTATTGTTATCATTCTAAATCAATAGTTTTATGATAGTTTCCCTTTGTTAGTGAGAAACAGTGATTAGTTTTGTAATTCTTTTTATTTAGTTGAACAATCCCTATATCGATATTAACTGGTCGTTAACATAGATAGCTCGACTTTAATTTACTTTATACATTTTTTCAATTGGTTTTTATTGAAACCAGTTAATAAATCGATATGGAATTAATCTGAAAAAATTTTTTTTAGCTTTTTTGTTAATGGATTTATTATATTTTTCTTTTAAATATTTTATAACACGAATTATGGAATAATATTAAGGTTTATTGTTAAGGAAATAATCAAAAAGCGTTTAGGAAGTAATACAAGTAAGTAAAAGCATTCTCTTTACTCCAATTTGACTAAAAGTAACATTTGCGAAAATCATGTTATATATTAAATTGTCTTTGCTTCAGCTATGGCATTAATCTGTATAAAGTTGTTTAGAAGGAACAAACTACGGACCGGCCCTTACAAGTTATTTGCTAAAAAAACAAAACTGACTGAAGAATATTATTTAAAGATATACAATCTTTCATTAAACACTACGCATGATTAAGCCACGTAATAATTAGTCGTTGAGGAAATAGTTGTGTAATTTGTTAGATAATTAGATTATCAAACGGATTCTAAGGTTTCTAAGATGTGCCGCCGTTTGTTAATTAGGCAATTTGAGCGGACGGTAGAGATAATTAAAATTGGAATCAAAGGTTCATTCGAAGGTGAAACTCTCGTAAGGATTATCAATTGACGTCCTCCAGATGACGTTCAATAGTTATTTCATTAAAGTTGATAAACGACTTGAAAATTAGATCGATATCGTATAGAATAAAGCAAATCGATATTTACATTCAAACAGCTCGACACTGCGGTTTCTTTTGGGGCGATGTATTCCGATTTATGGAAATTCTTTAACAATCGAAATAAGGCACTATTCTAGAACATAATCATAATAAATCCCTTTGATAAACATTGCCACTTCAACAACTTTTTTTTATTTTAATAAGAAAGCTTCAAAGTTTTTTTTTTAATAAAAATATATATATATATAAGTATATATACGAATTATATACCACCCAAAAAGTAAAAGGGATTTTTATAAAATATTCGATAAAGGGGGAGGGAGAGGCCCTCCCCGTGTTTTTTATCCACAAGATGGCGTGATTAATATCCTCTCCTTTAAAGCCCTAAAAGGAACTAGTGTTTCGCATTAAAATTTCTTAACCCTCTCTCATTCGATTTATCTAAGCTTATTAAGGGGCAACGAACCGTTTACTTATCATTCTCAAATATCATGAATACATTTAATGAGGCGTCCTAGAATTTTTTTTTCTGTATAGCTCTGCGATGAAGTAAAAAGACTGTTAAAGGTCACCTTAGTAGATTTTATATATATATATATATATAATAGAAAAGACTGATTGCATGATGTTAGCTTTACAATCTATATTCGTCTATCGTAGAATCCTTATTCGTGCTCAAAATACATAGACTACAGTTAGCCGTTGACAAACAAACTCGTCTTAGTTTGAGCGATCTCTCTTCTTCTCTTCGAATTTGAAGCGTTTCATTTCCCAAGCGTATTTGACGAATTGGGTCTTATTAAGAAACTTTAAAGAGATTTAAATGAAAAAGAGCTCTCAGATTGCCTTATTTAAAAAAATCATGATTTCATTAGGACAATTTAAATGTTCCAATAGAGTTTCCTAAGTGAGAATGCTACTATTGTTTTTTTATATTAATAACATTCTACAGATATCTTATTGCCTTCGAATTACAGACAATAAACACATGCCTAATAAAAGATTCATAGGTTGGATAAAAAGGTACAACAGAGAGGAAATGAAAGAAAAGCCTCTAATCGTAAAGTTTTCAGTTCAACAGACAAACTTTACATTAGCAATGTATGAAAATAGTAATGTATTTTCGCCGAATTATGTTGAAGCTTACAATGGGAAAATTAATCAGGTTTACAGTAAAAGCTTATCCCGTTTCCTTTGGGGTAAATCGACCGATAAGTATAATTTAGAAGCTGGTGGTTTATTAAGGCATGGATTTTTCGAGGGGTATGCATGTAAACTTGGTAATTGCTTTATATTTGAGAAAACTGATAATGCGTCGGCAATTTACGAAGTCGGTGATGTAATAGGAGTCGAACGAAAATTAAATAATAGAACAAAGGAAACAATAGATGGATTTATGGAATTCCATGAGAGATTACACTCAAATTTTCGTGCTAAAAGAAAGTTTGCAAATATTTCAGGGCCTATTTTCGGTTTTTATTCATAATTATTATTATATTTGTAAAGATCTTTTAATAATAACGTGTTTATTAATTATAACAACGAATTTAATACTTTACGGAAAGTGGGCTCTTAGACGTTATAATTTGAAGGACAATAACGTTGATGGCTTTGAAGGAACCGATCGAACGTGTACGGTAGAGGTACTTATCAACAGAATGACGTACGTGCACCATAAACTCTTAATGAGAACTGAATCAAAGGAATATCTTCTAAGATATTTCCGAGACACAATAGCATTGATTCTAAGTTTTTCTTCAACTATTTATAGTAATACAGTTTTTGAGCACGATAAATACAAATTTAGAGGCTTAAAATATCAAATACGAAGATTAACGATAATGGACGAAGAGACGTGCAAGAGCGCCAGCAAGGATATTCAATTATCCGCTATTTGCCATCATCTGGACTTTCGAGACCACTTTAAACGTAACAGATTATCTTTTTACCGTCCTTAATGTACTAAATATAAAATCTTGTCTTGATTGTATAAGGTATACTTAAGTGTTAAAGTTTAAAGTGGAAACGGTTCTAAAGCACTACAATTGCCTTATCGACGCATCTAGGAGCTGTCTGCAGCTCGTTTTAGACTTTAGAAATTTTGGTGACGTTATGGGTGTAACCTTTGAAGCCTCACTAAATAAGATTGGAGCTTGCGCTCCTCGACGTCCCTTCTACGACGAATTCAATTGTTCATCGAATACTGTTATGATCAATACAAGAAGGGCAGGATATTCAGTAGACAAGTTAGCGCCAATATACGGATTACAATTTACATTTGTCCATGAGGCGGCTCATGCCTTTGGTGCTAAGCATTTAAGTAAAGAGGAGGAAAAATACGGCACCATTATGAATAAGAAAGTATCCGTAACCAAGTCACATTCGGAGAGTTTATACTTTCATAACAAATCTCTTAAGTCTATTGGAAAGTATTTATTCGAGCACAGTAAATACGGAAACTTATTCCATGCCAAATGCTTTCAAAGAGATCCAAACCGTGTTGGAAAATGTCAGAACGGAATATTAGAAGAGGGCGAGGAATGCGATGGGAACTCCCCTTGTTGCACTGAAACTTGCCATCTGATGCCCTTAGTGGGTTGCGACCCTTATCAGCCTTGTTGTACGTTTGATTGTAAAACGAGTCTTATTTACAAACCATGTAATTTTATGGGAAATTGTGAAAGGGTCCAGTTGTGTAATGGACGTTCGCACGCTTGTTGTAGATCTAGACAATTAATAAGCCATAAAACGAACGGATTCGAATGCGAAGACGGAGTCTGTTTAAGAGGGAAATGCATTAAGTATTGTAATTTTCGGGATTTTAAATCTTGTAAGACTCCAATTACGTCTTGCATGAGATATTGCGAATTAAAGGGGCAATGTATAAGTTCTGTTGATGGAAAATTCCAAAAGCTTTTTGCTGACGGTCAGATGAAACGACTTATGACTAGAACTAATAACATTTGCAGTCGACAGTCCGAGCGACTTAAGTACTGTGATAAGAATGCAACTTGCGTTGTTAACCATGGCGGAAACTTGACTTTTAAGAAGGGACGGAGATTAGAGATTAACTACGAAGAATACGCTAAAAGTATCATAGGTGAAAGGGCAGATTGGAATGATCCTAAAACAGAAATAAGAGAAAAATTTTGGTCAGCAATGACAGCAATTTTTTCTTGTATTGGTATACTCCTTCTTAAATGCACTGCTTGCAAATTCTGGAAACGTTCCAAAGAGACTTATGAATATTCTAAAATTAATTAGCAGTTAATTTTATTCTCTTGATCTTCTTTTACTATCAATAGTTTTTAAGTAGTAATTTCTCACGATAATATTAATAAATAGTTTATTATGTTAGTATATTCTTATAGTTTTTGTAATGCAATAAGCTTAAATGATATGATATTTCATTAGTATGAAATATAAGCGTCTAGCTAATAATTGAACAAACACTTAAACCTCAAATCTCTCTCTCTCTCTCTCTCTGTCTTTCTTTCTCTCTTAACCTATATCTCTTTTTTGTTTTCAATATAAATATTTGATATTATAATCTTATTAATTAAGTTAAAAAAAAAGTATTAAATGATAACTCTATCGTTAAAACGGAACCTTTGAGTCTAAAAACAAGATAAGATACCCTGTACATAACATTTATTATAAAATTTGAATTATAATTTATCTTCATGTTGTTTTTCATTCATTCAAAGCTATTCAAGCATTAGAATTAAAATGATTCAAGTGGATGTCTTCTGGTCGTTCTCAATGGGCTGTTGTCTTGCTCAATCAGCTGCTCCAGTATTAAAAACTTCACATGTGTTTTATAACAAATACTTTATTACTACGGTTATTTATTTGGCTACGATTTTTTCACCTTCAGGAGTTTATTTACTATGGGAATATACTGGTAAATTTTTACTTTCTATATTTTTTTTATCAAGCGAATTCTAAAAGGTGTCTATTAATAGGTTGGGAAACTATGTTTTTCCTTGATAAAAATATGCCAGCTATGCTACCCACTATTTTTGCGTCTACTAACGTCATCTTAGGTATAATTGGATTCATAACTGCCGTCTATTTTATTAAGACTAACAATGAATGGATTATTCCTTGCTTTTGGGTTGTTAGTTATGGTTGTATGTTTGGAATTTTAACTTTCGGATATGACAGGTTTTTATACGCCGGAAGTACGGATGATTGGTATTCTGACGTGGAATATAGTTTAATTGATTTCTTCCGATGTGATGTAAGTTATTGAATTGTTTTTTAAACTATAAAAAACCTCTTAATCATCTGACTTGACAGGTTTTTATTACCCTATTAATAATGGCACCCATTGTACTTTCCCCGCTAATTTACTGTCAAACAACATGGCCGAAAGAATGCGGATTTACAAAAACTTTAAAGAGAGAAATGGTTATGATGAGTTACATTGTATGGATAATATTTACTGTCGCTGTATCTTTTATCTATGTACTCTATATAAATTTAAAAATGGTACCTAACAGTTGGGGTTTCGATAGATTATTGGCTTTTTTAATTGGTCAGATAGTCTTTGCAGTAATTATTTCAGTTGTATTCTATTTCATTGATTACGAAGAGGCTGAAAAGCAGAAGGCGGATTAATTTCTCATAAAGAAAACACAAGAGAGAATAACTTTTAAATTACAATCAGTTAATTGATAAAAAAATAGAAGAGGGTTTATTTATCATTTCGTAAATTAGAAACGCTTAGAATGTATGTATTTTATTATGCTGCAGTCAACTGTAAAATTACTTTTTGTCTAATATAAAGAGAATTTACTCTTCCTCGAGTTTCATTAAAGGGTTTAGAGTTTGGGATTAGAGAAGGGTTAATCTATTCTGCCACCCCTTTTCTCCTTTGAAAATTAACAAATTTTCCCTTTGCTACTGATTGAAAGAGCAATATAGAACTATGTGAGTCAATGTATAAGAGTAGAATCGAAGAAACGAAGCGGGAAATCCACCTAGATGAAATGTTTGAAAAGTAAATGTTATTGTTTGGTATTAAATGATTCATTCTTTCTTTTCCCTTTCTGTTTCAGTTGAGAGTCTATCCGACTTGACAAGTTCAATTCACACGCACGTGTGACAAATAATGAAAAATTAATCAATACAAAATGTCATATTATTGGTTAAGATCTCTTTTCTTTCTCTCTCTCTCTCTTTCTATAGAAAAGCTTAAATTTGAAACTTATTGTTTAAATTACCTTCATTATTTTTTTTCTCTTACAGATTAAAAACACTCATGTTTACTCAGCCTATAATTTTATCTCGAAAACAGCCCTGCCAAAACAAACGTTGCATTGTTAAAATAACGAATATATACCCCTAAATCAATTTAAATAAGGGAATATAGAGAATTTAATTTAATTTTTTTGTTTTGTTTTCCTTTCTTCCAGTTAATAAGTCTCTTTATACTAGTTTCATTCTTATCACGATTATCAATTAAAAGGACTACAGATGTCTCAGATGATAGATTGATAACAGAAAAGGTGATATACTGCACAGTTAAATTAATTGGTTTAGTAAGAAAGCTATTAATATATCGGATATAGGTGAATTTATAATATACTTTAGATAAGATAGTCTGATAGATATTTCCTTTTAAAATTTATATAGACTTTTTAAAAATAAAATGCCCCATTTATCCATAATTGATTTCACCTTTAAACGAGAATAAAAATTCTCCTCCTGAAAAGAAACAAAAATCAATATAATTTATTATATAAGTTATACGTTATTGAAACGAAAACAAGCGATATGAGGCGAATTATGGGTCCCCTATGAATTCTATGATAAATTCTTTTTGTTGTTTTTCATCATACTCTAGAGATATCTTATTACATTGCATGCTGCTCTGTTATTGTTATTAATGTAAGATTATGAAGATATATAGAGAGAATTTACCGGAGTAAAAACAAATCTGAACTCGTAAGGGAAGTATATAAATATTGATGTTGTTATTATTAACAAGTTTAGTCTTCTTCTCTTGAGGTCATAAATAAAATTATCTACTGATTCTTGGGCTATTGAATAATATAATTAATAGGAATTATTCAAATTTGCCGCTTTTGCTTTTGACCGATGAATTTGTACCGCCGACCGGTCAGTTATATTTATTACCGTAAATAACCGGTCAACCCTAAGACTAGAAGTTTAACATCGATTTGCCAATTTTCACCAATTTTTGGGAAGTTGTGTTCAGTTCTTAAACGGTACGTTTAAAAAATTATTGTGTTGACGTTTCTTAGCATTGTCTGTTCATAAGTTATCCTTTATATAAATACGTTTTGGGGGTAAATTTCGGTTAAAAGCAATTTGCGTTACATTGAACAATAACGTGTAAGCTAACACTATTGATGAGAGCCCGTCTGGTACAAAGATATAAATTCTGGCATATTCAGATAACAGATAGTTAGGGTTTGTCAGACACTCTTGGACACCACCTTTCTCTGGCAACTAATTCGAACAGCTTTCGTCAAAAGTCTGAGGCAGCAACATGGCACCGCTTTTGTGGCATTTAGACTCTGTTGTTTTCGACTATTCTCCCATATCAGCAGTCCTTTTGTGCCTTTTCATGTCTACAATATATGTCGGTAGTCTGCACTTGTACGCGACAAGAGGAAAACCTCGAGATGATCCTGAAATAATAAAAGCTAGATTCTTTAGAGTTAGCATCATTCTTATCGTCCTCATTCCATTCTTATGGATGATAAGTACAACTTCTCACGATCGGATACGATCGAAAAATATATTCATTTGGATCGGTTTACGATTTGAGGGGATAATTTTAGGAACTATTTTACCTTTAGTATTAACAATGATATTGTTCCTCGGGCCATTGTATCTGCACTACGTTGATGGGATATTCTCCTTATATGTTGAAAAAAACTATTGGAATGCAAACTTTAAGAATCTGATTTGGTTGCGAAATCACATTGTGGCGCCACTGTCAGAAGAAATGGTCTTTCGAGCTTGTATGGCACCGTTATTGGTTCCTGCCTTTGGAGAATGGAAAACAGTTTTTATTTGTCCACTTTTCTTCGGCGTCGCCCACTTTCACCATATAGTCGATAAAGTTAATAATCACGGCATGGGGATTTTATCTGCTCTCTGCCAGTCTTTCTTCCAATTCTGTTATACAACCCTTTTCGGCACTTACTCTGCGTTCCTCTTCCTCCGAACGGGTCATTTTCTATCAGCCGTTATCGCACATTCATTCTGTAATCATATGGGATTTCCGGAGTTCCAACAAGTGGGAACGCTGCCCAGACGCCAGCAACTGATTGCCGTCTCGTGTTTCCTTATCGGTCTCGTTATGTGGTCGTTACTGCTGTTTCCTTTAACGTCTCCGACTGTGTATGGAAATTCGTTTTATAATCTGTAGTAGACAGAGCATCACCGATTGTTTATATATCTTATTACATATTGAAAAAGATGAAAACATAAGGAGGACTCACTGTTTTTGTTTACTTTTTTGCTTTTTTTCTCTCTATCTCTATTTTCTAAACTTTTTTTGGTTGGACAGTAATCATTTTGAATAAAGAAAAAGATTTATGTTTTTTATTATCTTCTCCTGTTATTTTTCTCTTCACGCTTGAACAGATGACGTCGCAATCAACGTCGTCGGATCTACTCGTCTGTGGAACGTGCCGGGCAGAATTTAGCAATATTAACCTCTTCATTGAACATAAGCAAACTCATGCGTTTCCCGGTGGTTTGGCTAACGAATTGCTCGAAGTGTTTGTCGATACCGAAGCTCCCGACTCTTTGAACTCCTTGTCCGACGAGCAAAGCAGCGAGCCTTATAATTTGACCGCAACTGTTTCTAATCAGGCAAACGCTGACCATCCTACGATCTCGACTCGGATTACAAGCCAATCTGTTAGTAATTATGACGAATATACGCCATCTAGCGTTCAAACTATACAAGGTATACTCTTTTCCTGATCTAATCAATGTAAGGCGAACCTTTGTCTAATTCCCTATCCATTCCCAACTTGCTACCCAATGTCTAGATTACGGCGACTCGAAAACATTGCCTCACCTATTCATCACCAACCAGTCAAGAGATGGCGCTAGCAGCACAAAAAAGACCAATGAAAAAAAGCACAAATGCAAATTTGATAATTGCGATTACAGTAGTAGGTATTTAAAGGTAGGTTGATTTGTTAAACGATTTTATTTCTATCCTTAATTGATCATTAATATTGTAAAAAGCGCGCAATTCTTGCTTATGTATCGACGAAAATATAGCTCGCTATAGACGTTTGCATGTCGATCGAATGAAGTAGCAAATTAATCAAATCTCGAGCAATTAATGCTGGGATATTTTTTTTCTCGTGTTTTTCGTTCAACAATAAAGTGTAAATATCGTTTTTAGCTTTTCGAACCTTATCTGTTTTTTTCTATAATATATAATTGTGTACATACGCAAAAAAGACAGATGCGCTAGAAAGCAGGTTTCTTCTTTCAATCGTTTACTGCATATTCTCACATTTATAAGCATGCAGCTGTTATATGTTCTATGCTGGTTTATCGGCTTAAAATTGATGATGGGAAATTGGGCGGGCGAAAGTAAATTGAATATGAGGAATGTGTATATATATTACCGCGTATTTGTTGCGTATATATACATTCCGTATTATGATTTATTGACTTTGCTCCAGGTCATTCCGTTCAACAGGTGTAATTCACCAAAATATCAAATCTATTGACAATATGAGTTTTTATGTGTATATTCCATATATGTAAGTAAATTTAACGATGATAAGTATAGAGTGATAGCATAAAATTGTTCAAACATATTTGATTTATAATAACCTAATATCATATATATATATATATATATATATATATTTATATTTATATATATATCATATATTTACATAGATTTATAAATAAATATCAAATATATATATATATAATATAGATAGATAAATCCATCTTTATCCTATCAATATTTTTACTTTTTTTTATATTTTATATGCACTTTAAAATGTCCATAAAAGTAGATTTCACCTATAATATATATAAATTTATATATATATATATATATAATGTATATACAACTGTATATGTGTGTGCATGTGTGTGTGTGTGTGTATGTGTTTTATCCATAAAAGATATTTATATATATCTATAAATTGGTTCTCCTTCGCCTATCAGTATGTATGTGTGTATCGTAATTTATTTACTACATATGGAATGCTTTATATGTGTATATAAATGTATATTTATACGCATGCTATAAGTGCATACCGCACTTTACAACTGCTGTAGAGATTGTACAGTAACAGTATATAAAGTTACATTACGCAAGGAGTAATCTCTTAAAAAAGTGATAGTCGCAAATTGAGTAAATGTCAAACGATAATATTAATGTGTAGCGTAGGAGCTTTGTGCTGTGGGTGATCTTTTATAAAGAAAAGCAATATTTCCCTCGTGGTGCCCGACGACGTCCGTCTGCAATCTGCAGTCGGCACTTTTCTTATTGCAATTGATGAACGTTTGTTTTGCTTTTGATGTGTTCTTTATTACGTTCCATCACCGAATTTTTTCCCCAGTTGCCCCATATACCGCATTTATTAACTACTACTAGATTTTGTTTAGATATTTACTATATGTTCGCATAAAGAGTCTTTACGAAAGAAGACGACTTTTTTACGCTCTATTATGCATAAATGTGTCGTCATGCTAGTCCCAAACTGGTGTTTTGAGATATCCTTTAATATTTCGGTTTATTAAAGCGCATAGAATTACTCATGTGTTTATTATATTTTTCCGTCTGCAGGACGTCGAGCGTCACAGATTAACGCACACGCGGGAGAAACCGTTCAAATGCAACCGCTGCCCGCGAGCGTTCAACAGGAACGATAAATTACAGCAGCATATTCGATTTCACGACGGTAATAAGCCATTCAAGTGTAAGGACTGCTCATATTCAACCGTCGATAATGCAACGCTAAAGAAACATATGCTGATTCATACGGGTGAAAGACCACACGTCTGTCAGATTTGTTCTCTTGAACTCCGTACATCATCCGCCTTGACCGTCCACTTGAGAACCCATACGGGTGATAAGCCGTTTTTCTGCAACGAATGTGATGCCCGCTTCGCGATCAGCTCGGATTTACGGCGGCACAGTCGAATACATTCGGGAGATAAGCCGTTCGCCTGCAATTACTGTACTTATAGGGCGAGGGTCAAATCAAATTTATTAACACATATAAAAAGTTTACATAACAACGATTCGTATTTTTCTTGCGAATTATGTGACTTTAGAGGAGATAGTAAAAAATTATTGAAAGAACATTATGATAAAGACCACGGAGAAACTCAAGAAAAGCTTGAGGAGAAGACGACCACCTCGAGAGTTAAGTGTGATCATTGTGGCTACACGTGTGCTAATAAGGATTCCCTAAAAGTGCACATAAGTAGGAAACACGGATCACCGAAATGTCGGCGGAACGTGTCGAGAGGTGGAAAGAAGAGGAGAGGGTTACAAATCGGAAAATACAACGCCTCTCATAAATGTCATTTATGCAGTGCAGTCTTCGTTAAGAGCGATTCTCTTCGGATTCATTGCAGATTGCATGAACGGCGAAACGAAAGCCGTTCGATACGTACGAACGATGCCAGTAGCGTTCGCGTTCAACCGCTCGACTTAGATTGCAGCGATTTGTCTAGCTACCTGCCTGATCAATTAATGGAAAACGCTTAAGAAGGTCGGTGTATTAGTTCGGCCCCACGTTTATATAAAGATAATTATTAATTAAAAAGTATGCAAGGTGTGTAATTGGAACTTATTCGTTTTTTTTCTTCTGTTTCGTTGAGCTTTTGCTACTACAATAATACATATCGAAGAGATTTTTAAGACAAAGACGAAACGAAGTAATGTCTTGTCCGGAAGCGTTTAATTGCAGTCTTTGTGCAGTCGCATTACGTCATAAAGTGTACGCCATGTGCTCGCCTTCCCACGTAGAAGGAAAAGAGAAATTCGAGAAAGAGATAGTAGCGGCGGCAGCATGTGGCTAGAGGATGAAAACTGTCCGCAGGGAAATCTACTGTCTTATCCCGTCTCTCTCCGACGCCTTTCATGCCCGATTTGCGGATTTTCTATTTCTATTCTCTTCGCGATACAGTTGATCTTTGCCCCAGCAATACTCGCTCTGTCATTTGACGGGTCGGGAGCGACGTTTTCAATGTTCCTTCCGGTTCGCGACGCCTTTGAACTTCCGGTCGTGTCGCGCTCACGATTATATTATATAGATGCTCGGAGCGGAGATGAGCGCTGGCGTAATCGGGCGGTCGTTTATTACGTAACCGTCAGCCTTATGAATGTTCTATTGAGCCGACTAGCATTACATATTGCGTTTCTTCTGATAAACGTTGTACAGAGGCTAAAGGTTTTTTTGAACGGTTCTGTGAATGCAATGAATGGACAGCTGTCGGCTTAGGGCGACTATCAAATTGTGCAGCCCGCCCTTGTTTTTCGCCCTCTACCGGCGTTCCTGTCACGTCGCCAAACGGAAATGAAGAGACGGCGAGTTAGAAAGGAAGACGCCGGCGTCACAAGCCACCTAATTGACGGCGGCCTGCACCATGACGAATGCGCGAGTGACGTGACTGTCGTCGATTGGAAAAAAAAGAGACGCGCAAAGTCATTTGCATTGAACGCTCGTTTTTCATTCATATTCAGTGCGAGAAACGAAGAAGTTGTAAGAGGGTGTGGACGGGGTGGAATAATTCATGATTGGCAAATGTAATGATGAACCGTCGGCGCGCTATTCGGTTGCATGGGACGTGTTGACTTTGTCTTCATCCAATTAAACGCCTCATATCTGCGTTAATCTGCAGTATGTGCTAGCTTTTTTCTCCAACTGACCGCTGACAGTCACGTACTAAACGAATTGATGGCCATAACTTTGCTGCAGATTGACGTCTATTTGCCGCTTATTTGCGAAACGCGCCTCTATTATATTTTCGGCGGTCTGTGCCTGTTGGCAGTTTAAGCTGGCGTTGCTAGTTTGGCGCCCGAAGGCTGGAACGTCTTAGCTGCAGGTGCCTTCCATTAAACTACTGGTCAGCAATATACACAATCGATGTCCTATTACCATAGCAACGTTTTTTTTCTCTTTTCTTTTTTTCGTTTTCTTTTTATTTTCAACGACGTTGACGGCGTCGCTGACGGCCGCTTTTTTCTTTGGTAAGTTTTAACAGTTGGAAGGTTACATTGGAAAAACAGGGAAAATAGGACGAAAAAAAGGGGGAAATAAGCATATATATCCGTTTTCGTTGCACTCCTTCTTGACCTTGTCAAGTCGCCTGTCCGCCCCCGGCCTATCTAACCGCATTGGACATAAAAGATTCGGGAATGGACTGATATAATATGCATAATCATTTTTCTTTTCATAAAAGTAACTAAATGTTTTTTCTTCATTGAAAAAATTTTATTTTTTTTTATTTCAATTCCTGCGGGTCGATAAAGCGTCGTAGTAGGCGTCGCCCTCGACGCCCCACGCGTCTTATCTGGCACTCTTGGGCCGCGTTCATCATTCATCATCTCACACTAGTATCTGCCGAGGCGAAAAGAATGGGAGGGCCGGATGGTAAAAAAAAAGCCGATAGACGCCGATCCGGCACGTGCTAGCGACGCCACGGGTCAGCGCCGGGTCAATACGCGGGTCGGCCGATCTTTTCAACGGCGGCTTCCCAATGCATATGCTCGACTTAAGTTGCCATCGTACGTCTTGTTAAACTCTGCTTTGCGGCGGCAAGCAATGAAACTAAGTGCCTACCCTACCGCACTCAATTATCAAACGTCCGGACGCCTTTTTATTTTGGCCTTTTCTATGTACAAGCTTAAACATACATGCATTTATATATACTTAAAACATATTGTACATATTCGGCGTACGCGTGTTTATTAGTATATGTAATGTAATAATACAGTACAATTCGTACACTCTTAGAATACAATAAGAGTATGACAGTAATGTATAATTTTACTAGACTACTAGTATTAAGTGATCTTAACATTATACGGCTGGCAGTGTATCTTATTTTCTTCATTCTCAGAGCACCACCTCACTCACATAATATTAAATATTTTATCATTTTTCATTTTTCTCCCCCTTATCTCTCCTCTCCCTTTCTCTCTTGCGACCCTCTCTCATTCTCTTCTTTTATTTTGCTTTTTTTATCATCTCCCCTCTTTCTTCCTCCTCTTATTATTATTCAAATGCATGAATTTTATTATATTTCAATCAAACTTTCCTCTTAGTTAACTATCTATCTATTGCTTCTTTTCTGTCTCTCCCTTTCTCTGTCTCTCTTTGTAAAATTTCTAACAGTCTATATGGACGACCCGAGTGGATGCGTGCAAGACTCATAATCGAATTGAGTGGACGCGGCGGCTGGACATTGACAAAAATGCGCCCGAGCAATCTTTTAGAGCGAGCACAATTTGACTTGCGCCTGACGAGAATGCGTGATGTCTGACGCGGCAAACGTTTCTCTTTTTCCACTATAATCTTTTAATAGTAGGCCTAGAAGTAGCTTATATTCTCTCAACAAATCAGTTTTTTAGATCGAAATACGCTTAAAAATAATATTAAAGTATGTCTTTTTCGAGTATATATTTTTATCTTATTTATGTAAATATGGTCAAGCCAAAAATTCTCTCAGCCAACTTTATAAGACTATTTTCAGTATATAGTATTAAAATAAAACGGGACAGAGGAAGAGAGCTATGTGAAAAGGGATAAAAAAAAGGGATAAAACAAGCAACATAAAGGAGAGGAATAATATTATAGAAGGTGGGAGAAAATGGATAAAAAGGAAGGTTTAAATTGAGAAAGAGAAAGAAAAGAAGAAAGAAAGATAGATAGACAGAGAGAGAGAGAAAGATGGAAAGAATAGGGGAAGAAAAAGAAAAAAAGGGAAAAAGAGAAGGGGGGTGTTATATGTATTCGTTTGGTCAGCCGGCCAGCAGCGTCTTATGCCAATATTTGAGGAGAGATGGACGTCCAAAAGGAAATGTTTTAGCGTGTTATTGGCCGGCGCAATGCGATATTGCTATAGACTTATGTGTGCATATGCGTGTGTGTTGTGTGTATAAATTTTTATATGAATCAGTATTTCAGACTTTCTTTATAGAGAGAAGGCATGCTTTATCAACGTATATATATATATATATATATCTTTGTATATATGAATATTAATATATATAAACATACATGTGTTTATATATACATAAATATATATATATAATAACAATGGACGTGTATGTTTATATCTGCATGAGATATGTTTTCTATTATGTATTTCGTGTAAATGCTTCTGTATGTGTCTGCATGTGTGTGTGTGCTTATGCATGTACATGTGCTTCGTATTAAACGTATGCAAGTTTTCCACCCTCTCGTTCTTTTCCTCCCATTCCCTCCTCCTCCTCCTCCTACTAACTACCATCCTCCTTTCCTCCTTCTCCTCCCTTGTACAACATTTCCCTCCTCCTTCTTCTCCTCCCCCCTTACTGATGTTGTTTTTTTTTTCCTACTATCGTGAGTATATACATTTATAAATGTATGACCGACTTTTACCCCTCGCGGCAACAGTAATCACAACGCAGCATTCTTTTGTTTTTTTCCTCGCCCGCCGGCCGTTCATTTGTATATAATTGTGTCATTTCGCTCTCCTTATCTTGCTACTTTTATCTTTTATTGACTTTGATGTTCATGTTTGATTTATGCCTTCACCAAGTTTATACAATTTTTTATTATGCCTGCCGGTAATGAGTCGCAATCGGGTTATTACTTACAGTCATTATTTCTATTCTTATCGGCTTATAATCACTCTTTAAATATCTTATATTGTATACATGAATAATACAAAGCAATTAACCATAATTAACATTTTGTATTTAATTGACTTGGACAGGTTAAAATTATTTAATTTTTGGCTCTTTGCCATATAATTAGATTTTTTATATATACATTTTTATGTAAGATGACGCAATAAATTTTAGGCATATGGTATAACATATACAATATATTATGAAGAAGTATTATGCGCGCATAGACAGACAGATTCCTCTTTTTTTTCTTTTTTTTTATTATTATTTTCTCCTTTTTATGCAGCCTTTATTTAACGATTAATAAGTAAATTTACGTGTTGTATGGCAATTGTATTCATATACACTTTTTTTTCGTTTTTTTCCTGCCAAAACTATCTATTTATCTTTTCTTTTAAATGATAAATATTTTCGTGATTTTTCCCTTTATCTATCTCTCTCTCTCTCATACTCTCTCTCTTGGCACACACACACATACACAAATATATATATATATATATATATATATATATACATATATATATATGTCTCTTTCTCATCTTATTTCTTCCTGCGTCTATCTTTGTATGTAAAATATTAAGATTAAGAATGGAATATATTATCAAATGATTCATAAAGATGTGAAAGTAGAAAGAGAGAGCGAGGAAAGTAGATGAATAATAATACTATATTGCTTAGTTTTGTTAAGTATAGAAGAGGCGAGGTGTTTCATTTTTTAATGGAATGATACTCCGGACGGATTGACTTGTAATTTCATTTATAACGCAGCCCACTTTCATATATATATATATATTCGCTCCGTCGGGGCCAACAATTAAGTTTGCCTCTTTTTTATCCACCCTTCACCCACCCTATTTCATCCTTTCTCCCTCCCTTCTACAATTCCTACTATATTATTATGTCTTAAATGCCTAGTTATAACTCTCTTTCTTCTTCTTCTTCTTCTTCTTCTTCTTCTCCTCCTTCTTCTTCTTCATCCTTTCCCCATATCAAACGATTGTATAATTTCTAATTTTTCTTTACTGCTTGGATTTTCTTTAAACCTCTTTCTTTTCTCCTTTTATACTATTACCAACTTCTCCAATTATAATCGACCCGCTTTATTTATTTATTTCCAAAACAAAGCAAGAGCGTTTAAAAGGTGGTGGCGGCGGCGGTCGTTTGGGTGAAAGTTATTTCATTATGTAATTGTTTTAATCATCTGACGAATTTGAACTACTGACACGGCGACTATAATTGAAAGCGAACGTGATTGAAATTAATTAAAAGCCGCGTTTCATACTCGATCTTTTCAATTAATTTTCTTGATTATAGGCCTACTGTGTATTTCTTTTTTTTTATGTCCTTTATATAGAATATCGAAAACATATAAATTTATTTAAATATACAGTTCGTATTGTTCCATTTAAAAGATTAATTATATAAAAAACATATGACTATGTATATATAGGTGTATATATATATATATATTTACAATATATGTATACATCTAAATATATGAGGAAAAGAACAAAAGAAATGATATATTTGACAATTAATGAATAAGTTTAATTGTAAATTTTTACAAAATACGCACAACTATACATCAGGATGTTTGGAAAAGTTTGTCTGTATGTTTTATAGATGATGGAAGAGTTTGGGGATTTTGGCATTCCGCGATTGTGTAACTGCTTTTGTATATACATAAATCATTTTTCTCTTTGTACCGCCATCGTATCTATTTACATAATATGACATTCCGATTGTATAAGGCGGGAGTGGAAATGAGGCGTGTACATATTCGTCTTATTATATATAATATATGCCTATATACATAAATTAATATATACATATCTG